AGATTTGCGCAACAAAATCGGTGATGAATTTTTGAATGCTGCAATGATATGTACTATAGAAAAAGAAGCACTTCTCGCAGTTTCAAATGATGATGTAATCACGCAATTTCAAAAGATGAAGAGTCGTAGGRCACAGTTGTAAGAGGTAACTTTTTATCATTTTTGTATGAAATTGAAGTTAATTATTATTTTATTTTATATCGTGCCCCCTACAAAAAAAATTCTGCATCCGCCACTGAGCAAACGTGTAATGCTCCAGGTTTCACATTTACATACAATCATGTATTTCATATAACTAGAAATACAACCTTACACATTCGGTCCCAAATATCCACATGCAGACAATCATATAATCTCTTTATAACTTCCCTTTCCCGTAACATCTGGTTACCTGATCTGTAATGCACCATTAAAACACCAAAAATGAGGGTTAGACCGAAAGGTCTAGTGAATGAATCATCTTCTTACCAGGGGGAATAATCACCAAACACATTTATAAACTCATATTTGTAATAATAGCAAATATACAACCTTTTGATATAACAAACTTTTTCTTGTCGCATCTAAAAGATGAGACATTACCAATTTACCGCATCAAGCAACCCAATAACTCATTTAACATATTTTGATATAACTCACCGTATCAAACAGATCAAAATGTTAATGAATTCAGTTCTGATCTTAATTATTAAAACTATCGTGGATGCTCCGCCCAACTATCGTTGTTAAACCTGACAACTATTGTGGCTGCCCCGCCATCTATTGCGGTTAAACCCGCCAACTATCGTGGCTGCCCCGCCATCTATCGCCCTCTATCGGCCAACTATCGGTTTAAACGATAAACAAACTCATTGGTCAAACCTTGGTCGTTGAACTCCCTCATTTTCCAAGGCATGGGAGATGAGCGCCCCCTCATCTCCCCCTCATGGGAGATGAGCACGTCTCACCGGACATAATTTTTCGAATCCAAATATGTCACATAATTTCATATATCAAAGTAAATCACGTATAACGTAATAACACGTATTTTACAAAAGTATTGTAAAAACTCACCTCGTCCAATATTAACCAATATCTCACCGAACCTTTTACCCGGATCTTTCTTTCTTCCTTGAGTGAAAACCACCAGAATTTCTCTCAACCTTTTTTTCTCAAGCTACATATATGCAGAAAGGTGTCTCAAGCTACATATATGCAGAAAGGCGTGAAACGATACATGGGAATGCAACAACCCCCCCCCCCAAAAAACCAAAAGTCCAAGATACCAATATTGGACCAAAATTTTCAAACCACAAGAAGGTGACCACAATTTCACCTTTGGTCCCTCATCTTCCATCAATATCAATATAATATTTTTACCCTGAACTCTTCATCGTTATTTATTTCGAAACCCGATCAATAAATTTTTAAACCGAACATTACAAAACGTGACCAACCCTATGAAGGAATAAGATAGTTTTTATGTACAATGTACAAGTTCATATAACATAATTAGAGATGGCAAAATATGAATCAACGATCCCAACCAGACCCGATACCTAGCCAAAAACTTTATCCAAGACTAGCAGTCCCAACCGATCCATACCAGGCCTTCACTGGTCCCAATTTTGGGACCGACCTTTACAACATCGACCCAAAAACCCTTGAATAATTCCTAACCTTGACCCTAATCAGGCTTTTTGATCGCTTCAGGTCTTAATGGCCATCTCTAAACACAGTTTCACAAGGGTTTGAGAAAGTAACCAAAGATCACCGGTTCGAATCCCACCAAGACCATAAGGATTTTCCAGGCTTTTTTACATGGCCCTTAGGACAGTCAAGATATGCACAGGTTAACAAAAAAACACAAGACCATAACATGCGATAGAAACTCAAGACAGGGTGCAACAAACACGTGTAAATAGTGTCAAATAATTAAAACCTCCTTGATGAAAAGGATGTACATCAAAAATATTCTACATACAAGATAAACACTACACCTCACCTCAGACACAGAACCATCTTTCATGCTAGCTTAGCAATCATAATCAATCAAACTCGACCATCCTCAAAGAAACCACAAATTCCGATGACCCCACCTTTCCGGCAACAATGGAGGGCATATAATAAACTCTTGCCACTCTGGCAACCCTGTGTGTGATGAGTTGGCGGCCATGATTAACATCTAATGTGTTACCTTGTTGCGTTGGAGTGGCACACGTATGTAGGAATGAAGTTTGTGCTCCATTTTTACACTTTTCTGTAGAAGAGGATATAAGCCTGGTCATGTAAAACCTTGTTTGTGCCAATTGCAGTCACGGAAGCATCGTCAAAACGGAACCACTGGTCACTAGGATAACAAGCATCAGCAGTGTAATGGCCTTTAGAGGCTTCTCTTCCGTGGTGTGTTACTGAAGAAATAAGTGCATACTTCCGACCCCCCTACATAATCATGATAAAAAGAGGGTGTCAATCAGGAGGAAATCTGATGACACTGTAACAACACTCTAACAACAGGCTAAATACTAAGCAAAATGTTTCACCTGGAAAATCTACTTAAGCTCTAATTGGCAAACCAGCTGATAAGCTAGATGTAAGCTAAAAAGCTAGTTGTTGATTAATAAGCAAGTTGTTAGCTGATATGCTAGTTGATAAATTCGTCATGTTTGGTTCATATGGTGAAAACTAGTTGATAAGTTAAATGATAATGTAAATTACCTACAAAAACATGTTGAAAAATTAATTGGAAAAATAAGAGAAAAATTGGAAAAAGAAAAGAAGTGGAAAAAAGGCCGCTCGAGCTTTATTGAAATGCTACTTGAAGTCGATTTTCAAAAAACTAGTTAATAACCTCAAAAAACTAGTTAATGGCTAACCAACCGGAGCTTTTTCAATAACCTCAAAAAATAAGCTAGCATCTGTTGCCAAGCATGGCCTTAATAAGACCTTCATTTACTTCCTTTGTCCCATGAAAACTGTAAACTCCATTTCGGAATGTCCTATTACAGTTGTAACATTTCCTTTATTGGAAAATTTGAAACATACCTATGCATATCACCACAAACAAGTCAAGGGTGTCAAAAATGAAATGCTACAAATTTCATGGGAAGGATAAAGTACTTTTTTTACATCATGTGTACATATGCCGGTAGCTCTAGAAAAAAAACAACCATACAAATAAAAAAATATGAGAACATTATTTGGGTCAACTTTAAAATAAATAATAGCATCGGAAGATGAGCATAAATCAGTGGAAACAAACATTACCTCTGTTGCCGGTGAAACAAGCAAGTCACGACTGAGTACCAGTTCAAGTGGGAAGCGTACAGATTTGTGCAATTTTGTACTTCCATTAGTTCCATAGCCAAAGCGCTTCAGGTGCAATATCATTATCTTCGGAAGTGTTAGTAGGTTCACAGATTTTCTGGCCGTCACAACTCCAGCCTGAAAGACAATATTTTATCATGTTTAGATCAGCACATGCATGTATGAGTAACGGTTTGTAATCAAGACGGGCATATAGTTGAAAGGTTTAAATACAAATATATGTGAGCAGTTGAGCATTATTACCATGAAAATAAACTTCATTAACATGTGCCATTTACGGTTGTTAAATACAAAAGCAGTCTTGATACAAATTAGGAACGTTCGTAGTTTGGGATCAATACTTCGTAGAACAGAAGTCTTTGTGTGACCATGGCTAAGTTTCATAGGGCAACAATAATACATGCTATTATTGTGTAATAAATGTGAATTGTGAAATTAATAATTGAGCATAGACTTGAGGTTGGATCAGAATTTAAGGTATATGAGCCAATAACAGAATTGATCACCATTTGGAATAAGTATGCTTGATGTTCTTCAATAAGTTTAAATTCCGTGATAATAAGAGACTTGATAGCACGGTCAAATGATTTAAGTATTGCAAGTGAACAATGAGTGATTGTGCAAGCATCATACCTTTCCGGATGTTGTTCGATACTCGTCAAGTGTTTCTGGCATAGAATATAGCCGAAGAGCGTCTTCAATGGTAGAAACAGCTTCATGAGATATATCAAGATGGAGCAAAAGAAACGGTTGAACCGTCGCAGAGGCTTTATTTCCTGTTGACAAAAACATATTAGATGATCATAAATCAATCTTGCACAAAGTCGAATTCACATACTTTAGCAGAAGGATACAAGAGCCAAGTGTTTATCCCAAACCAGTTCAAATAAGCCCTAAGAGCGAGTTAATAAAAACTAGATTGTTGATGGGGGATTACATCAATATAAGCCCTCCCCCCAGAAAAAATGAAACAATTGACATAATGATTAATGATCAAATACCTAAAATGCCCTTTAATAAGACAAATTTGAAGAAGAAAAAATTTGTGGACCAAAATCAATCTCACTAATAGCTTATTGTGATTGGTAATGCATATAAAAGTACATATGAATTGGATGAATGGTGAGTTGTCTGGACAAGCTGGCAATATGATTATTGAATCATCTTTGGTTAATCGAAAAGAACTAGGAATGTTGACACACTTAAAGAGTCAAATAAGCCATCCATAGAAAGAAAATCAACAGTTTCAACCTTGAACTTGGTAACCGAATGGAATCTTGCTTCAACAATATCACATTCGACCTTGACATCTTTAGGTTGCATTCCTCCTATGAATTCCTATGTTTCCTGTTCTTAAGTTTCAATGGTTGTTCCAGAATGTTCCAATTTAACTTGAGATTGGAAATCGGTACGTAATCAAGCATCTTCTGCAACCCCACCACCTCATTTCCCATGATTTCTCTTTACATTTTTTTTTTCTAAAGAAGACCAATGCCATGTGAACTTACAGTTTGACCAACATAGATTAAAAGTACTAAATAAGATATCTGCTCAAACAGATCAAAAGAACAGATGCAGACCATCAGACTTGAATCCATGATCACATGCTGAAAAGCAAGACATCCTGCCAGTTGACCATGTGCTACACATTCTAGATAAGAACGTAGGGGCCAACATACCCATTCCCCTGCCCCATGCAGGTCTACTCCATCAGCTTTTAAATGCCCACACCAAGTCACCAATCATGTAGGAAATATATTTTACACTTACATTTAACAAATTAGTATGTCATGTTATTCGATAGCATTAAATATAATATATAACTTAGTAGAAGAATGCATTGCTTTTAACCACGTGGTTGTGGGTTCAAGGTGTAATTCATGTGGTATAAACGCTAACTGCATAGGCAAATTGGATACAGCTCTCTTTCAATTCTCAGAACTCACACATACAACACACATAACTGTTGCAACATCTTCCACCCAACATCATCTCCTAAACAACTCCAATGTAGGAATGTTGGACTTAAAGAGGTCAAATCCTATATTCACCCTATTTTTTACTTCTATAGTATTTCATATCTACAATTATACATAATCTTGAACTTCAAATTATTTGGTTGATTAAGCAATAAATTTACGATTATTTAATTACTTGAATATTTTGCATTGTGCACACATGAAAATATCCGGAATACTAATTTGCAACTTGCAACGTAGATAACTTATAGAAGTGGTATATAGTTAAGTTGTTCTCTTAATGTTCAGTGACATTAGCATTAGTGTTGCCAATTGCAAGGATGGCCTTCAAAGAACACTTTCCACAGGATGTCTGGTTGAATGATTGTTTTATTGGTGAAGGGGTTGGATGATTGTTCAACCACATATTTGAAGGAAATGTTACCAAGTCCGTTGACAAAGGTGCATGGCTAGTGGAAGAGTAAAAACACAATGTTTTATGTACAATTTACACCCTTAAGTTTTGCTAATGACAAATCGACTGCTAAGCTTAGTAACCTACATGAAGATCATTTATATTTGTTTACTGATTAAAAATATGTGAGACCATATATATTCAGGTAAGGGTTGAACGAAAATGTAGTAATTTCACAAAGTATATGACAAGTTCAACATTTTTTCAAAATTAGACTATTTCAGATTAAAAGTTTCTAAATGATAAGTTTCCTAAAATGGAATTTCCAAAATGAAAAGTGCAGAAGGTTTTTCCCTTTGGAAACAACGGCAACCAATTTCAAAAAACTCATTCTCCTCAAATAGAAAGCTCAATTAATTTGAGCATCGACACTTCCTCACCCAATATTTGTGAGATATAGCAAATCATACACTTGCACATTTTTGAATTAATAATGCTTTCATCTTGTTGCATCTTAGAAAGTTTTTGTGCTCAAGATTGTTGAACTATCAAGATCAACTTGATTCAATTGTAAGGTTTTACTCCACCTTAAGGAGCATATATGCACAGAAAATTCAGAAAATTACAAGTAGAGCTCAAGAAACGAACGTAGGACAAGAAGTCCATACCATGACAGCTTATGATGTTATTCACCAACTCTCTCTCTTTAACTGTCATAAGTTTAATCACCTGCAAGTTTTTTTTTCAATTGAGACATCAATCTATTACTAGATGGATTTACATTTATAATAATCCCTCTCCTTTCCCTCACAATCTAACTACACCGGCCATCCATGTTTTCCCCCTCGTTTTATTCTAACATTTTCTCTGTTTTCCATTTTCTAGAAGTAAATTACATGGTAGGGAAAGATAACTTACAAGAGTACACCTGGAAACCTGATACAGAAATAAATTTTATATATGAAACTAGACTAATATCATGTTATAGACAAGAAGGGACACTGAACAAATAACATGAAAGTGAATGGTTTCTCTCTAGTGTATAACATATTACCCTACTAATAATATAGTGTTGAATCGTTAGTCGCATACTCGTATGGTGAGGACGTATGAAAAATTCAACAAAAAGAGTGTTGTTTCTTCCCCCAAATTAAATGTGGCAATGTATTGTGAACTAAAACTTATGGTGTTCGGGCCATAACTTCATCATAAAACTAGTAGGATAATCAAGCTAAGCTACATGCGGTACCACATCGTAGTAACTACCATTATCACATATCCAAACGGAGCTTACTGCTTATAGGTGCAACTTGCATGTAGTGGCATATGTTAAAGAATTTGGTCATTGGATTTTCAGCAAAAATAACCTGAGCGAAATAAGCAAGAATCTTATTTGAATCATGCAAACTTGAGCATGACTATCTTTCAATACAAGCTAAAACTCTTACAGAGCTAACTCCAATAGACAGATACCAAATGCAGACCCAGCTTGAATTACTTGCAATTCATAAACCGTGATTTGATCAAGAGAACCCGCAAAAATCCAAAAGGATATAATAGAAACTTATATGGGTTATACAATATTTTATATTCCTTTTAGAGATATCAGATCATGTATTTAGTCACCCTGTAATAATAAAAATTTAGCTACAGTTAAATAATATTAGCAATTAATTTCTTACATCTGTTGGTTAATTTTATACTCAAACTGGAATTAGATTTAGCATTCTGCATATATATTGCATGCTCCACCAGTTCAAAGAGAACAGATTTTGACATTCCAAATTTTATCATTTTAGGAAATCCCTTTGTTTCCTATTCATGCAGCATAAAAAATGATAGTGTTGCTGATACTAGATTGGCCTACCTCTTGCTTTCACGACACTTCTCAATTGCCCTCCAAAAATTGCACTCAGCTCTGAAGGAGCAAAGTTTTGTGTTCTTGTTACTGCAGACTTGTTTTTAGGACCAACAGTCTCCCAATCATCATCTTCTATGGATGAAACAAGTGATGACCCATTGCCACTTGCACTTGAAGATTGTCCTTCAAGCTTTAGTAATTCATCATGCATCTGATGCATGATGAAACTTAGGAACTCCTGCGCATCTTCTTGCCTAAAACAGAAAGTCAATTTCATTATAACAGGAATCCAAAGGGTTCTCCATTTTCAACTACTTTATCTGAGTGGCTGTTGCAATTTTATGACTTAAACTGTTGGTAGATGAGCACAAAGACCAGTAAAAAAAATTCAGTTCATCATTGTAACTGGTTGTTATATAAAGAAGGTGTGCCTCATAATAAATCGTAATAACCACTCAAATATTACTTGAAATGCAAATGAGATAAATCAAATACACATTAATAGCGAAAAAGGTTGATATTAAAAACAAAATAAAGATACCTGGGCCTTCCTGAGATGCTACTAGGAACATCAGGAGTAAAATTCTTCAGAACCACTTCAAACATGGCTGGGCTAAAAGGTCTACCCACTTGCATATGGTTCATGTCCTTTGAGCTTGCACCAGCAGGCATCTTGAATTCAGAAATAAATTCCACAATAGCAGCTAATGTAGGATAGCCCGTCTAAATAAAATAGTGCAAAACAAACGTAAAGTTATACAACCGATCATAACATGGTATGTATATATAGTAGGTTCCATGTCCATATGATGTCTCATTTATCAAAGAATTTACATATTTGAATCCATCAAATGCACTTAAAAAGCAAACCTTGTGAATATCATGGGTTTTTAATCCCTGGAAGAGCTGAACAACCGCAGAACATGACAAAAGAGCTTGTAGAGTGGCATTGAGAAAGCATGTGTTCCCTGAGTTGATTAACCCACGAGGTAGTAAGTATGTCCCTGAATCCACTGCAAGATGGCCATCAACAGTGTCAACCAACTTTTCTTCCTTCACACTCACTACGGTTTGAAACTCGTTTTCCACTACAGAAGTAGGGACATTTTTCGAGGGTATGTGTGATGAACAAAAGTTAATGTTTTCAACCGGTTTGAGCTTCATGTTACCATTATCAAATAGTCTTCCATTTTCTTTAGGATGTAGTAAAGCTTTTGGCTTATGATTCTCGATTGCTTCACTATGGCTACTTGTCCCATTCTTAGAAATGCTAGTTGGGTTGCAATTAGACCCCTTGGAAGAGTCCATATTCTTGTATGATTCATCATTGAAGCTGCCAAAAGATATTGCACTTGATATCTTTAATGAGTCAAGATCTAAAGCTTCCTCTTTCACAGGATTTTTCACATTTCCAGTTGGCTTATCAAACCATGATTTGACTTCATCTTCAGAAAATGACCCGAATAACAGTACCTGAAGGATTAAGAGCAAATTGACAACTTTATCAACCACAAATTTACTGTTAGAAAAACATACTTCCACCATTGCAACATACTAGAGCCCATCCTGATACTATCATTTTCTTTGAAGTTCTCACCTTCGAAAACCTGACCCAGAAAGCTATCTCATTTTTCGTTCACATTTCAAACCATGTCTGCTAAGTTTCAAGTTTATCATAAATGTATGACTCCTACAGTATAGTCTCTGTTCCAAAAACAGAGGAACAATTTGAAATCCAATGTCAAAAAGCATTACTTTCAAAATTCAAATTTATATGGACCTTCAATACACTCCCTTTTCATAAAAATACTACAATTGGTTCCATGCATGTTAAAACAAGTATTTTAATCTTGGTTAATGTCCACTTCCATCATCCCAGAATATAAAGAAGTATTTGAAATTAATTTCCATTTTCAAAATAAAATACTTGTAATAAAAACATGAAAAACAACTACCGTAACAATAATTAAGAAGTTACACAGAAGGAAAAATCACAGCTAATTAAAAAACGAAATGAAAACCGTTTGAATTTTCCATGGGTATAGGGAAGTATTTGTTTGAAGCTTATTTAATGTCGGTATAATTTTTTTTCTTAAGAAAAAACCAAATAATACATTTGAAATCCCACTGAAATCAGCCGGTTGGACCGTAAAAGTCAAAATACACCTCTTTCTTTTGAAAAGAATGATGTAATACTCATATGAACTTCCATCTGGACAACCAAAATTGGGCAAAGTATTCACCTTCCATAAAATATCATCTAGCACGATTCACTAGAATAATCATACCCAGTACCCACACATAAAAGACACCAAATGTGAACATCCAAAATTACGATACCCACAATCTAAACTTTCTCAAATCATAACAAGTGATACCCACATCGTTTGCACTTCCATCAATAGAAAATAATGTTTACCTGAGATTGATCAGCCATGATGCGGTTGCCGTGTCAAATTCAAAGTGGTTTGTTTATTAATACGAGTAGTATCAAAGAAGTATACAAAAACCCTAGGGGAAAAAATCGAAAATTCAGTAGGATTTGAGTGGGAACGAAAGCGCAGAAGGTGTATGAAGAAATGTCAATGACAGAAGACATGTAATAGCAAGAAGAGAGAGAAGAGAGCATTTAACAGAGGCAAAAGAGTGTGATCGCCGGCCCTGAAGAAGGCGGTGTTGAGCCGAAAATCTGACCGATGGACGGCGCATCCACGGTGGTGAACAGAAGAGGCGGCCTGTGTTCCTCTGTTTGTATGGTTTTTGGCTTAGGTTTAGGTTTTCTCTTTTTCCTCCTTAATTTCCTTTTCATTTTCGTTTTTGACAAAATAACATTTTTGGTCCCTGTAGTTTTGCAGCTTCTCTGATCCACCCTTCAAAATGTTTTGGTGCTTTTATACTTTTTATTAAGCAAAATAACATTTATAATGCTCAACAAAATTGCAAAAATCTATACTATATTATAAAGCATTCGACAAAAACTCTTAAAAATCATTTTTTAATGTGTAAAGTACTATTTATTAAGGCATATTACTTAAAACTCAAGATTGCAAGTAGATTGCGTGTAAGTACAACTTATGAAAGTTCAATATCTGAATCTGTGTAACTAACTGCATATAAACATAATCAAATACAGAATAAACATCTCATTTTAAATATAAAAAATCTAAAATATAATTAGGATAATCATTGAGTTTTAACAGAATACTTAATTATTATTTTTGTAAAATGTTATATTATTAAACCAAAAATAAATTATTTTGGTTATTAAACTTAAATTAAATTATAATATAAAAAATTAAAGAAATTATATAAAAAATGATAACTTTTAAATAGTTGATTTGATATTAATATTGATATATTTTTTTCAAATTTATATTTTATTCAAAAATAAAATCATTATTGTTTTCTTAAAAACACATAAAATCATATTATAACATCGACAGAGACAAATAATAAAATTAAACATTAAAATCGAGATGTGTCTCGCTGCATTGCACGAATACTCTTCTAGTAGTTCAAAACACATCAAATAACCAACTAGAAAAGTCGAAATCTATAGTAGCTAAAGCGCAGGGCCGTCCCTGGGGGAGGGCGGGTCGGGCGTACGCCCAGGGCCCATAAAAATTAGGGGCCTAATTTTTTTTAATATATATAATAGTAGTTCAAAAAAATTAGTAAATAGAAGACACATAAAAAATTAGTATCTAATATGACAAGAAAATATTATTGTACTACATTAACTATTAAAGATCCAAACATGTATGAATTAAATATATTGGAGAAAAAACACATAAAGATATTAATCTGTCGTTTATTATATAATATCATTTAATGTTTTTCTAAGTTTTTTAATCTAAAACCGACGTCTAAAACTACTTGCTTCGAAAACTTTGATATATTCTCCATAATTTATCTTCCATCGATCTTTTGATTGTTTCATTATCGCGTGAATTCTATTGTTATATTAGAATATGATAAAAAAATTTGTTATTAGGTAACAAAACCCCCATCTTTGGAAAAAAAATTACCAACCATATAAGACGGTACAACTTATATTTATATTTAGAATAATAAAACTATAATTGTTTTTTCATAGTTGTTCTTTATTATTTAATATTTAGTGTATAAATCTTATGTACTATTCTATCTCTAAAAGAAGAATAAGATCTTAAACTATCACCACTATGAGTTTTTTTAATTTATATAATCGATGATTTCATAAAAGTTTGTTTTAACCCTAACTCTATGTTATTGAGTCTTCTTTTACATAAGAAAGGGAGGAAATTAATGGGGGAAGAAAAATATTATGTTCTTGAGATTCTTTTAAGGAAAGAAAAAGAAAAGGAAAAGAAAAAAATTATATAAAAATTTATTTTTATTTCATTATTTTTCCTTCCTCTCTCTTATCTATTAAAAACACAAATAAAAAACTTTATTTTTCTTCTTTCCTTTTATTTTCTTTTCCTTTCTCATTCTTTCTTTCATTCCAAAATTCGAAAACATAATATAAAAGTTTAAAATGGTGTTAATCTTCTCAAATTCGAAAATATAGTATAAAAGTTTAAAATTGTGTTAATTTTTCCAAATTCGAAAACATAATATAAAAGTTTAAAATGATGTTAATCTTCCCAAATTCAAAAACATAATATAAAAGTTCAAAAAGATGTTAAAAAACATTAACATGAGATGACATGAAAAATCAACATTTTTACATTGATTTACATAGTGTCACTCGAAAATCAGAAGAATCGACGTTGTGATTCCAAATGATATCATTTTATGTACCAAAAGTATATCATAGGATGTTTTTGATGATGAAACAAATTAGAAATGAGTATTGATTGATTCAGCGTTCAAGAATACTCGGAAAAATGGTTTTATATGAATTCAATGTTAATTCTGATGATAAAAACAATATATTGAAAAAATATCGTACTCATCGAGGGCCCTTTTTTACATCTCGCTCAGGGCCTAAAAAATGTCAGAAACGGGCCTGTTAAGGCGTAGAATTATGACTGTCTCGGATGGGACAACCTTATCTCTATCTCTCCCGATAAATTGAGCCTTAAACGATGGTTAAACATGTAATAATCGACAACATACTTGCATGATTGCTACAAATTCGATGTTAAGATTGAAAGATAACTTGTTGGTATTCCATTCCTTGAACCTATGAGATGTATAATGTATTGCAAAAGGGTCGGTGCTTCACATTCTTTCATCTTTAAGGCACTCGTGAGTCTAGATAACTTGTTGGTGCTTTTCGGTGGCAAAGGCGTAGGGGCAAAGTCCCCCAATTAAACCATGATTTGTAGGTTTAATGCAAAATTATTAATAAGCCCCCAACAAACAAAAGTTAGGGCCCATTTACCCAATTGCTTACTCGGTAAGCGTTTATCGACAGTAGTAAACACTATGATTTATTCTGATTAGCAAGATTTTAGTAAATCAAAACATATCGAATGCAACAAATTTACTGAGTAAGCGTTTATTTAGGTAAGAGTCGTCATTCTCATTTACCGGGTAAGACTCTCTATCATTCTCATCGCTCTTACCCGGTAAGATTCTTGGCCCTTCTCATGTTAATCCGGTAAGGAAATTTATCTGGTAAGCACTTAACAAGTAAATGTTTAGTAAACGGTCCCTTAATGCCCTAAATGTAATTCTTACTATTGCATTTACAACTCTTACTTCAAAGACTCGTTACTTTAAGGAACGATTAAACTCTAATACCTTTAACTTCTAAGTCTTAACCCATTGAAAATCATTTTATTTCTCTTACAATTACAAATTAGAAAACTTTTCTAACTAATGGGTCGTTTACCAACTCTTACCGGGTAAGTGTTGTACTACGTAAGAGTGTTTACCAACAATAAAATGACCATTGTAACCTTATTTGTAATTATATGTTGAATAAAATGTAATTGTTTTTGTTATTAATAGTTTAAAGGAAGAAAAAAATGCATACTTTAAATAAATGATTACCAACAAAAGTAATACATTTTACTCCTTTTTATATGATTAATTGTCAAATAAGAAAACAAAATACAATTTTCATACTTCAAATTAAACAACAAAATATATTAATAGTCATTCAAATACAAACGGAATATGAAACGTTAATACCAAAAAGAAATTGTTTGTTTTTCATCCTAGACAATAAAAACTAATTTGAAGCATTTGAAAATAGTTGAGTCGCAATCTGATCCTGCAGATTATCCATATATCCATTGTCTTGAGAAGCCCCCATTGTACTCATGGTTCTAAATAACTCGTTATGGCATCAAGACTTGGGTTCGCCACCGCGTTAACCCCCATGGCTCCACTCTAAAGGCTTGGTTTGCACGGTAACGTGTTATGGCATGTTACGACACGTTATGACACCTTATTTTGTAAGGTCTAGGCTACTTTGATATATAATTTGAGCGATGAATAATAATTATGTAGGAAACCTAGGACTTAAATAAACATGAAAGAAAACTTAAAAAACTAAAATCTTAAATAGGTAAATATTTACTCAAAATTCCCGTACACGAAAAGTCGAATACAGATTCTTTAAAAATTGAAAAAGGTAGTGAAAGAGATCTAATCCGATTTTGCACTCTTGGTTTCATTTCCTATGAGCTCTATCTATTTGATATCAATGGTTCTTTCCTTTTAGTTTTATTACTTTATATGAATTTAATTTATTCGAAAGTATTCTCAAAACATTAATACATACAAGGGTTGGTAGGTGTGTGCACGTGTGTGTATATATATGTGTATGCCTATGTCGCCTTAGGGCAGGCCTTAAAAACACCATGGCCTTGCCATAACTCGTAAAACTTGAGACTTAACCTCACTGTCATGCCAAGCCTCACGTCATTTAGAACATTGATTGTACTTCAGTGACTTCCTCTGCAATGCCTCCTCCATGTTTCTCTTCTGCAGTAAACATGGCTCTCTCATCACATTCCATAAACAGTTGATCTTGGATATTGCATCTTCTTAAAAAATTATGAATTGTGAAACAAGCAACCACTACCTCTATTTGTTTTGGATAAGGATAAGAAACCATTTGCTTTAGAATTGGGAATCTTGCTTTCAAGACGCGATACGCACGTTCAATAACGTTTCTAAGTTGTGCATATGCATGACTGAACTTTTCTTCTTTAGTTACCGCACGTCGGCGTCGAAAATCAGCTAACAATACCTTGTATTGTGTTATGAAGTCAAAAAATCCATGGGTATTGGGGTATGCAACATCATAGAGATAATATTTATTTACATTTATCAATACAATTAAAAATTACAGAAAAATGATAATATTTCACTATTAGTAAAGGATGATACATACTCGGTGAAGGAAACGAAAATCTCGAATTTGGGTCAAATGCAAATTCTCTCAAAACTTTCGCGTCATTTGCAATGTCTTCCCATCCAGCAACCAAACATATGTGAATATCATGTTAAAATCGCACATTGCTAAAACATTTTGAAAGCAATAACCTCTTCCTCTATATCTTGCTTGTTGATTTATAGGCACAACCGCATGTATCAAAGTTCTATCTAGTGCGCCTATAGCCCCTGTAAGAAAACCACAAATTTTATATAATAATATCATAAGAACTTCTCATGTTTTACAAAGTATCAAGACAAATAACATACCGTAAATATATCTTTAAGGTTTCTGACTCTCTCTGACATGTTCAAAGTTCCATCAAAGAACGTTGGTCTTACGACTTCTCTTTCGAATTCGATCATTCCATTTAGCAC